AATTTCCACGCAGACTTTGTTGTTTTTGGTTTTTATTTCATTTGGTACTGTAAGACTTTTGCATTAGGAGGTAGTGATGAAATGGTTTTAAATCATTACACTTAACTTGTTGTATCTCAATACTACCTCCATCTCATTTATTGAGTTGATAAAATAAGAATGGAGTCATAATGTTTTAGAAATCACACAAATTTTACTAAATTTGGTATGTGAGGGGTGAGACAGAATTAAACTCAAAATTAAGTTACTTTACCAAAGTAAAAATAGTGAAGCACATGGTGCTACCTGATGATGTTAATGATTACACCAACATTTTTTCAATCCCTTAAATATCCTAACAATCATTGACTATTATAAGATTTTATGATTATATATTATAACTAGTGTTTTACCCGGGCGTTGCCCCGTGCGAAAGTTGTGAATGTTTGAATCTTTATAAAATATATATTTTATAGAATATAAAAATAATTAATCATTTTACTTCAAATAAATTTTTGTTGAATCTGAATAGTAATTTAACTAAACAGAATATATTAAAAAGTGACATTGCAATGTAACACCGCACATTACATTGTAACCATACATCGCATTGTTAGGTTTAAATTGGGAAACCTCTTTATAAACGACATTCATCGTCTTGGTGAAGAAATTTGTTTCTTTTGAACATATGAATATCTTAAGATATCTTTTCGTGTGACTCTTGGTATTGCAATGTACAATTGATCATTAATGAAACTTCTCTTTCAAGGTATAAATCATATTTATGTGAGACCTTTTTTTTGGCAAAATATAGCCTTGACTTTTATTGATTATCATTGCAAAAACTTACCATCACAAGAACTTGCATTATTCGAAATTGAATAAAGTTGTCATACGGTCACAATGAGATTTTTAATATGTAAATTTTATCTTTCATAACTTTTCAAATTATGATTTTTCATACTTGTTTTTTCAATCTGGTTATGACCAATTACGTTCTATTGAATAAAACTTATGCATGATTAATATTCTCCAATAACATTATCGGGGCTCCAATTTTCAAATGAAGGACATGGTTGGACAATCCAACCATTGAAGCGCTAGTAAGATATTTGACATTGTACATATCAACATGGAAAGTAGTGCCGGTGTGTGAAGGAATAATATTAATTGAACTAAGATATGTAACTCCTAGACCATCGATCAACGATATCAAGTAGTTAGTTATTCATGATGTTTAATTTGTTGGTGTAACGTCTAAAATCTTAGAACATGCATCGCGTATCAGCATAGCTTCATCCCATATAATCAAAGACGCGGCATCCAACAATTTTGTCTTCGCAATTCCTTGATGAATATTGTAGGTAGTATGACAATATTTATGGGAATATGAAATTAAATGATGAGCTGGAATTAGCTTTAGTAGCTAGTAGAAGACGTAGATGAAGTTTATTTAACAATATACGAAGTATATGACTAATAATAATTACTTGCACTGTGCATTTTCTACAAATTTTAAGACATCAACGTGCTCTTGTGATTCCATTTGTTGGAATAAAATGATACAAACTCAATATATATACTAAACATGTTGATTTTTACACAAATCGCACATCCTACTTTGGTTATATTTTATTCATTAATGTATTAGACATTTTTGAAAAAAATTGTTCAATTCGTCCCAAATTAAATTTCTAAAAAGCTCATTTTTTACTTACAACGAATTATATATATATATATAATCAAAGTGGTGTGTTGGCAAATGTGAAAACGGAAGTGTTGTAACTAAAAAAGAACGGAGAAAATGTATAAAAGAGAAACTTTTCGGAAGCATACAGTTGGCAATGTCATTATTATATACTTCTAATTCAGCCAATTAATTTTTTAAGATGTAATAGAAAATACTAATCCCATAATTTTATGAAGAATATAAAAATATAGATAAATATGATTTATATTTATTTAGGAGAATAACACAATGTGTATGTACTCAGTATTTACTTAATTACTCCCTCCGTTCTGAAAAGATTTGTCAAATTGACTTTTCTTGGTCAATAACAATCAACTTTGATTAATGATATTTTTAATGCGAAAGTTATATCAAAATGTCCCTTATTCAAAATATTTTCATAAAAGTATAAAATTAATAAATTATATACAATATATTAATTAAAATTATTGTCTCAAGTTTGCCATAATTGACCAAAATTAATCATTATGCTGAACCTTTTCGGGACAGAGGTAGTATTATATTATACTTTATCAGTACTATTTGAATTTTTTAATTTGAAAATCTCAATTCGTTTTTTTTTTAATTCTTCTCCTATATTAAGTGTGATTTGAAAGGTAGTTTTGTTAGTAAATAAAAATGTAAAATTCTAAAATAAATGAGAAATTTATATCAATTAGTTTTTCATCGTTATATCTTATATTTAAAATACAAGGACATTTTCATCACACATATTTTTCAATGGAAACTATTGTTTTAATTGGGTGATATCCTATAAGGAAAACTAATTCGATCGGGAAGGTAATTAAAAAAAATATTGAAAAACACTACGTCGAAATATTTATATATAAAATGCAGCACTTTTAAATAATGTACTTAACTGACTTCTCAATCGAATTTTTAGATGAAATTTTGTGGACATAATCTAAACCTCATGAAGAACATGCTCAAAAAAATTCATCAAAAAACCACCAAGAACATCCTCAAATCGCGGCGGCTAGATGGCGGTTCTACTCCGGAATTTCGGGGGTGAACTTTTCTCCTCCGTAATATAAATAAAAACTATGAATTTAGGAATCAATTGCAATTAATATAATGAATATTCACTATTTGGATTCAATAGTAATCAATTGAGTAAATACTATGAATTTAGGACTTAATTGCAATTAATGAATATTCACTAATTGGACTCAATAGCAATTAATTGAAAGTTCAATTTCAATTAGAAGGTTCTACTTTATTAGTAAGGAAGTAGATTGGGAAAATGGTCGAATACCCTCCCCTACTTTTTCAAATAAATCACTTCAACCTTTCTACTATAAAAAATAAATACTTCTACTACATAAAACCCATCAATTTGGTCTGGTCACCGGATCACAACTCCCAACATGCGACTGCAAATCATTTGTTGGCAATACATGTTTTCCCATTTCTTATTTACGTTTTTGCATTTTTCTTCTACTACGTTCAAAATACTATGGAGTACGTATTACATAGTTCCGAACCCCTGACGAGTTTCCATCTTCCTTTCTTTTACCTTTTTGCCTTTATTTTAATTCTTTTTACTTCCTTTTGTCCTCTACTAGAATAGAATGTACAAACTCCACCGGGTGGGTTCGATTCTTGCGGTTCGATTTTGACCTAAAACCAAATTAGAATCAAAGTAAAAGCTCTGTTCGGTTTCGGTTCGGTTTTACAGTCCAAAATTTGGATCCACGATTTGATTGGTTCGATTTGCGTCGGTTCGGTTTCGGTTTTCTCTGTTTTTTACCAAAAAAATTGTCATTTCATTTAAAATTGGTATAATACTTAGAGGGATCAAACATATTACATAAAGAATGCACGCACACTACAACAAATAAAACAAAAATTAAAAGAAATAAATATGTCTTCAATTATATAAGTATGTGAGAGAGATAAATGTGTATATATTATTAGTTTACATTGTTTGTGATTAGTTCGAAAAAAGTTCATGAGTATATACGTTCTATGTGATATAGTTGAGATGGATATTTATTGTATTATCAATATAAAATTTTTAAGTTACATAAAAATAAAAGTTACTTAATATTAATAACTAGTAAAAACATACTATCATCATTTAATATAGCTACATTATTACAAGCAATGAATGTGTAAATGAATTTATAAACTAAACTAAACTAAACATAACATAACATAACACAAACATTGTTTCTCTAGCACAAGAAAAGACTATTACTGATATTAGAATTAGTTAGGATTACTGCTTAACAATTAACAAATAAATTTATATTTTAATTAGTTCGGTTCGGTTCGGTTTTGAAGGGTGAAAACCACAACCGAACCAAACAACTACGATTTGATTCGGTTTTTTACATTCGGTTTTGATTTGTTAGTGGTTCGATTTTATTTGGTTGCGGTTCGGTATAATTTGATTTGGTTGCGGTTCGGTATAATTTGATTCGGTTTTCGGTTTTTCGGACCCAGCGTAGTCCACTCCCCCCCCCTCCTTATTTTTACTTTACTTCTCTCATTTGAATTTAACAAAACTGAGAAAATGATCTAAAATTCATTTTCTATTATTATGAGTTTTCCTTAATGTATATTACATTCGATTTTAAATGAGTGCAACGGTACACTTTTCACTATTGCCGATACACAATTTTGACCTTTAATATTTTTTTAAATTAAAAATTAGATTTTGAAAACATACAATGAGACAAATTTAACATATTTTTTAAAATAAATAAAATATAATGAAAATAGAACAAGTAAGTGTTTTCTCTCATGAGTTTTTTTAAAGCCCGGTTTGAACCAAAAACCCAAGTTTTTGGAGTGAGGGCCAGGAAACACCTCACCTATTTATTTAATATAGTAGTAAAAAGTTACACGAGTAGGAGGGCCGAACCAAAGCCTACTCAGGAGAAAAAATGTTACAAAACATAAGGGAACTAACAGCATCGAACTTAAGAATACCAAAAAATTGGTTAAAATGAAGACTATTGGATTTCATTGATATACTATGATACACTACTGGAAAATATGCTTTTAATATGGGTTAAAATGGGCTTTTAATAACGGTTGTGAACCGACTTCGTTCCAGCACATATTAAAAGTGGGGCACTTTTAGTGTCGGTCGACAGAACCGTTATTATATGTTATTAATACGGGTTAATTTTGAGCCTTTATTAAAAGTATTTCATGTCAGGTAAGAACTGACCCATGTCAAATGTTTTTTTATTTTATTAAAAGGCATTGAATCATCATCATATATTCTTTCATCGCTATTTTAAAATACTACGCGTGAGTATAAACAAAATTAATAACATACACGATCACATTAACCATATATTATTAATCATGCATTGCAAAAGTACAAAGTTTTCCTGTAATACACATTTTATTCCAGATTCTCAAACAATATTATGTTTCATATGACTAGAATACTAATAACAATATTACTAACATATTTCATAAAATCAATATCTAAGGACTACAGAAAGCAACCCATGTCAGGAGAAGTCCATGTCTTCTGGCTGCATTATTAGTGGTCGATCCTAGTTTTCTTCTTAATAATCACCAAATGCCCAAACATATCTTCAAGATTGCAGCAGCTTTTTGGAAACAATCGAGTTCAACTCACTTAGGTACCTTGTTTCCAAGTTGATCTACATCCACGCATTGAAAGATTCATCACCTGAATTATTATACACTAAAAAAACAGAAAAATTACTACAAAGTATTATTTTGTTATATAATACTCCGTAACAATTACTACGGAGTATTATTACTACTATTATTATCATGATCAATATCATACATTCATACTACTATGATGAGTTGATGATTATGCTTAACTTTACACCATTTTACTTGGGGAAGAAATACCAAACCCAAATGTAGCAAAATAGTCCTTTTCAGCTCAAACCCATATTGTTTGACTTGAATTTAAATATGCAAATAGATGCAATCAAATGCGCAAATGAAGTGAGGAATAGCAAAGTTTAAAATTCAAATGCACAAATGAAGTGAGGAATAGCAAAGTTTAAAATCTGGACTACCCAATGTAATATCCTGATAACTTGTTTTGAAAATAAAATGGCCTATTGACTAGTTTAGGTTACTATATTAACTCCAGACTAATTAGTACTATCTTAAAACATAGTCACAAATAAATGAGACTCTAGATATGTAATCTGCAGAAAAAACAGCTACACGGAAAGCAATAGATCAACAATGCAAAAATATTTTAATCAACAAAAAAGCATCCTCAAAAGCCATACACTTTCCTAATAGTTTCCACCTACTACACATACCAATGCACACTGCAGGTCTAGCACAACCAGCAACATTTTTAGTGCTTTCAATGCCACAAGAAAATTAAAGAGAAAGTAAAAAAAATCAAGAAGTTAGAAAAACATTTTGAGAGGTTGAAAACTTCTTATAATTGGTGCTTGCTTTAAAAAAAGCACACATTAGGTGCAAACCCCTCTGTGGTCTTTTTTCTTTCAGTGGAGTAGCATTAGTTTCAAAATAGTGGAACAGGAACAATGGAAGTTCTCAAAATCAAAGATAAAGCTATGCAATTTTCATACTTGAGCTACCTGGCCTGGGAATACACGGGATGGAAGTTGAACAGGATTATAAACCCAATTATATACTCTTCAAATTGAATAATACAACCTTTCTTAAGATCCTTCTGTGAAAAAAGAAAAAATTGAATTAATTAATCATCACTTTAAAAATAGTAATAGATAGAAAAAAAGTTATCAGATCGGCAAGTGCCTTTTCAATTGAAGCAGACTTTGGTAGAAAAATATATTGATGACATCTAGAATTCATGGTCTAATGGATACGGGGTTTGAATCCTTTGATGTTTCACAAGCCTATAAATAGGCTGCTCGGATTACTGCAATAAATACAAGAAAAAATATTCAATCAAGAAATCTTAAAATAAACATTTCCTTTTTCACAACTTTTCTCTCCACTTTTCCCCTAAGTTCAATCACTACACCAACAACATTAGAAGAACACATTAAGTATAGTAAGTCATTTTTATTTTAAACTTAAAACTACAAAATTGTATATCTTCCAGTATGAAACCTTAGAATGAAACCACAAATCAAATTTATATATACAAATTTATATATACACTACACTTGATCTGCCTAAACAAAAATTCAATTTGACCTCTTTTGTCAACAAAATTCCATTTTATTCTATAACTATGAGTATATATATGAGTATAAATTAGTAATTATTTTTTTAAATCTGGTCTTTGTGAATCAAATAAAATCATGAGAAGTTTTGCTCTACACAACCGAGTTATTGAAATGAAAAGTTTCACATCCAACACGGGGAGCTTAGATAGGAAAGAATTGGGAACAAACATAAATAGTTGTAGTTATACATACAGAGAAATTGATAGAAAGAAGAAATTTCAGTAACTGTAAAATCTCACAAGGAAACCAAACAATACTTAAAATCATCATACCTGAACAAAAATTAAGGAAGAGCCTTAGAAGGAGAAAAGAGCAGTTGAGCGAAACAGTGGAGCGAGAGGAGGGACCGAGAGGAGCTGCGATATAGCGTAGGAGTGCCCATAGTCGAGTGAATCAAATAAAATCATTAGAAGTTTTGCTAGCGTAGAAGAAAGGTTGAGTAGGTGTGATGTGTGTAGTCCAGCGGCTATGTTGGGTAGAAGGAGCTGCGATGTGCGATATCCATAGCCTGGCGGCAATGTACTGGTATAGAAGAAGGGTTGAGACGCATGACTTATATTTTGTGTGTTAAAATCTAAGGCGTATTTCGTAAGGGGTTTGTGAGAACTGACATTGAAATAATTTCTAAAAATAAAAAAATTGACCCCGCGTCAGGTCATTAATTTATGAAAATTGCAAAAGTTACCCCGTTTTTAGTTTCTATATCGTTTATAAACTTAGCCGTTATTGATACAAATTAAGTATTTACAAATTCTACCCAGTTAGTTATGCAAAACTTTTGTTATTTATAAATTTTACCCCGCGGTGGTTTCAATAACGGTTAACTATGAACCCATATTAAAGGTTAGTTATCAAATCCATATTTTGCACTAGTGATAAGAAAAGAACTCTGCTGCTCTATTAACTTTAGGATGAGTGAGACTTACCGACCAAGTGTTGACCCTGAATTTTTTCCTGATTTTGTGAATCTTTGACCAATATTTCCAATGTCGGATCGAGAGACCAGCAATACCTGCATAAATGTCCTTGTCATCCACCTCAAAGATAATATTAGTAGGCACCAATTTGTTTAGAAGGGGATGATGTAGTCAAGGGCCTCATAGGCCGCTAAGGTTGTTTGGTTGTGAGTAGCAAGGTGGGTTGAATGGCCTATATAGCTCCCATAGTTATTTCGAATGATGGCAGCTGAGCGAGTGACGTTTGGAGTGAGTGCACGGCTAGCTAAATTTACTTTATAGGTGTTGGACAGAGGTTTGATCCAATTACTCAAGGAGGGTATCTGGGTAATTTTTTGTGAGGGATGGTGTGGATGTTAAGCGGGGTATTGTGAGTCCTAGCAATGAGGGGTTTGACAACCGAAATGGCAAATATATCATGTTTAATTAATAGCGCGCACTTATAGCTTCAGGTGTATGACCCATTTTATTCTCATAGAGGAGCTTGTTTCTGACTTTCCAAATATGCCAAGTTATTATGTTTGGAATAACATTATTGAAATAATAAATAGGGCCACAATAGTCAATGTACCAAGTATTGATGTAACTATTTAAGGTTCCAAAATTTGTGGGCCGGAAATCCAGAATATTTTCAAAGTGTTGCCAAATACTTTTTGCAAACCAGCAGTTTAGAAAAAAATGGTCATTAGTATCATCATTGTTGCAAAAGGGGCATTTGAAGGATCTATTAATGCCAAAAAGGTTAAGAGTGGCAGCAAAGGGCAAAAGACCCTATATTTAGTCTCCATAAGAAGAAAGAGATTTTTTGTTTGGGTCCGGTTATTCCATAAGAACTTGGCATCATCAATCAAATTATTTTTGAGTCCAAGGACATCATAGGCACTATCAAAACTGAATATGTCATTTGGGTTGGGTTGCCAAATAATGGTATCATTGTTAGCACCGTACTGAATTTTTATCGCATGAATAATGTCAACAATGTAACGAGGCAGATTGCTTTGAACAGAAAGGATAAAAACAGTACTAGGCCTAGCCTCCTTAATGGCCAAATTAGGAGCAATGGGGGTATATCCCCCCAGTAGTGATAAAGCGGGCCAAGATTGCTTCAATTATAGTACCAAAATGAACTAATACCATTGCTAAATGCTAACCTGTATACAACAATTATTATCAAAAGTTTGTTGGACAGAAGCAGAAGGATTATGCATGATAGAGCGAGTAGTATCTTTATGAGAGTTGAAACAATCAGCCCAAATCCATTTACCGTTATTAAGCTTCCATAAAAGTTTCATAAAAAAGTTCTCTGAATATGCATGAGGCTCCTAAAACCAAGCCCGTGTTCAGAAATAGGGTAACAAATTCTGGCCCACATTCGTCAAATGTGCTTCTTATGATCAATGAAAATTAGCTAGTTTACGTTCCATATTGTGCATAATAGTAGAAGGGAAAGGGGAAACAGCCATATGATAAAGGGGAAGGGAGTTTTTTTTTTGAAGAAAGGCAACTCAACTTTCATTAATAGAATCAGCACTCAGTACATGGGAAATAATACTAGGAGGAGAACCATTCCAACAAATACAATCAGACATAGAACACGCCGCCTGGGCCAACCCATGAGCCGCCGCATTCGCTGACCGCCTAATATGAGAAAAAGATATATCAGAAAAAGATAATTTAATCTCTCGTATATCACTGGCAATGACTCCCGCTAAAGAAACACTCGAACCATGAAGAATCTCTGTGATAGCTCCCGAAGAGTCCGACTCCACATCCACAACATCCCATCCTTTATCTTTGATCCAACTCACAGCTTCTCGAATACCCACCAATTCAGCTTCCAAAGGGGATAAACATCCCCGCCAGACTTTAGCAACCCCTGCTAAGAACACCCCGGCATCATCCCTGACAAGCCACCCCAAACCACTCCGGTTGCCCCTGACCGCTGCATCAATATTCAGTTTGAGCCTCCCTGGAGGAGGCCTTCTCCAACCCGCAGCAACTCTGCTTCCAGAAATGCTCTGCCCAGGAGCAGTCTTCTGCGCAAAGACCCAGCTGTCAACAAAGACTTTGGCCTTCATCAAGACTGATTTACTATCGGTTTCCAAACCATCCCAGACCCTTTTATTTCTCTCGCACCATACACCCCAACACCCCCAAATCATTTTAGTTAACCCATCCTCCTTCTTCACCAAAAATTCACGTTTCACCTGTTCTAAGAAAGACCCATCGGACGGCGGCACCCAACTCCAATCAACCGCGGCCCATGCTTCTTTTGCGACCGGACACGAGATGAAAAGATGATGCAACGTTTCCTCTTCAGTCCCACACAAACCGCAAGCACTCGAGCAATCAACCTTACGGGCTCTCAAATTAATCTTCGTTGGAAGCAAATCGCAGCACGCCTGCCAAAAAAAATACTTGATCTTCGGAGGCAACTTCCACTTCCACATCCTCGTCCATCCGGTCCACCCATCTCCTTCAACCTCCCCAATTAAAGCTCTATAACAACTTCGAACTGAAAAATGCCCGGAAGTCTCCCACCGCCAACACAATCTGTCCGGCACCGACCTGATACTGATAGGAATACCCCTGATTAGCTGCACATCACGTTCACCAAAGATATCTTGAAGCAAATCCATGTCCCAGCTCCTCCCATCGTTACAAATCAGCCCTGCGACTTTAGCATGTTCCAAGCCCAAGACCGGCTCTGTGGATACCATAGAATGCTCACTATTCGGGAGCCAAGGTTCTGTCCAAATATTTATATCATTCCCATTCCCCAGCCTCCAATAATATCCTTTTTTGACTATATCTTGTGCCTGAAAAATACTCTGCCAGATAAAAGAAGGATTATTACCCAACCTAGCTGTCAAAAAATTCCCGTCCCTAAAATATCGGGCTTTATACACCTTCCCGACCAAAGAATTTGGTTCTGAAAAAATTTTCCACGCTTGTTTAGCTAACATTGCCACATTAAATTCTCTAAGTCGTTTAAACCCCAAACCACCTACTTTTTTTGGACGACACATAAAATCCCAAGCTCTCCATCGTATCCCTTTACCAGACTTCCCCTGCCACCAGAACCCATTCATAAGAGTCTCAACCTCCTTACATAACTCCTTTGGAAGAAGGAACACATTCATAGCATAACTAGGCATAGCCTGAATAACAGATTTAAGTAACACTTCTTTACCTGCCTTAGATAAGAAACGATTATTCCAGCTATGAATTCGATTAACCATTCTTAAACGGAGATAATCTAGAATAGCTTTTTTATTCCTCCCAACAATGGCCGGCAAACCCAAGTAGCGCTCATCGCTCCCCGCCAAACTTACCCCCAAAAGTTCTATTAAACCAACTCTACAGTCTAACGAGACATTTGGGCTGGAAAAAATTTTTGATTTGCCCAAATTAATTACCTGTCCCGAAGCTGCAGCATAATCATACAACGTTTCCTTCACAACTGATGCTTCACCATGATTCGCCTTAAAAAATAAAATACTGTCATCTGCAAAAAACAAATGAGAGACTTTAGGAGCCCCTCGTGCAACCGCAATACCGTGCAACCTCCCAGCCCGTTCATGATTCTCCAGCAGAGCACTCAAACCTTCTGCAACTAAAATGAACAAGTATGGTGATAGCGGATCACCCTGCCTCAAACCCCGTGTTGGGATAATTGGCCCTAACTCGGCATCATCAAATGGAATAGAATATGAAACCGAGGAAACACATTCCATTATTAATCTGATCCACCTCTCAGCAAAACCCAGATGTTTTAACATACCCTCCAAAAAAGGCCATTCAACTCTGTCATAGGCCTTACTCATGTCCAGTTTAAGACTGACAAACCCAGAATTACCTTGCGTTTTGCGTTTCAAAAAATGCTGAGACTCAAATGCAATCATAACATTATCAATAATTGATCTACCCGGAATAAAAGCACTTTGATACTCAGATATACACAGATTTAAGACCCCTTTCAATCTATTCGCCAGTACTTTGGAAAATATTTTATAAACAACATTACAGAGAGCAATAGGCCTCCAGTCACCAATAATTTCAGGATTCTCCTTCTTAGGAATCAAAACAATATTCGTGTGATTAATTTTATCCGGAAGGATACCTGACTGGAATGCCTCAGAACAAAACTTAACTACGTCGGGACCCACCACGTCCCAGTAGTGCTGGAAGAAACCCGGGCTCAAACCATCCGGACCTGGGGATTTGTCTGGATACATATCAAAAACAGCCTCTTTGACCTCCTCACTCCTGATAGGTCTCAAGAGAGCGAGATTGTGAGAATCATCTAATCTCCTCGGAATACAATGAAAAGCAAATTCACCTGTATAATTCACAGAAGAGAAAATATTAGTAAAATAATCGCCAATTAGGCGACCTACTTCCATCCTGTCCGACTCCCAGGCTCCACCTTCCAGCCGAAAGCCCTCCACTCTATTTATTCTCCTTCGCTGCTTCACTGAATTATGAAAGAACCTAGTATTAAGATCTCCTCCTTTCAACCAGAACTCTTTCGCCCTCTGTCTCCAAAATAAATTTTCTTGTTCTAGTAGATCCAGATACTCCCGCTTAACCCGCTCAAAGACCGCCAGATGCCATCCATCCGAAAATTTGCGAAGATACTCTAAGCGCCTCCTGCAAAATTGTATTCTCTTGCCCAAAGACCCAACTACTGACCGGCCCCACTCCCCAACAGATTTGCAACAGTAATCAATCTGGCCCATAATGCCTGAACTAGCTCCTATGCCCCAACTTCGAGCAACAATAGTGCGACAATCTTCATCTCTGAGCCATAAATTTTCGAACTTAAATTTGCTCCTCCGATGAAAGCTTCTAGACGGGATAAGCTTAATGAGAAGAGCTAAATGATCACTAGGAGCCCCTTCTAAAGACTCCGCTACAGCTTCACCAAAAATATCTAACCAGTCCTCGGACACAAGGATTCTGTCCAGCTTCTCTTCAACCCAATTTGGGGATCCCCGCCACCGCTCCCAGGTGTACTGGTAACCCCGAAAAGGAAAATTTTGCAATCCACAAGCCCACACCGTCTCTCGAAAGCCTCTCAGCAGCCAAGGCGGATGAGGAACCCGCCCGCGTTTATCTGAAGCCACCATTAGATCATTGAAATCTCCCATAACAATCCATGGAAGATGAGGTGTTGTACGAAGGGATTTCAGCATATCCCAAGACTCTCTTCTTCTAACCCTCTCCGGGTAGCCATAAAAACCTGTGAATCGCCACTCCGGATCATCAGCCCCTAACCTGATAGTAGCATCAATGAAATTCGGGGATGACCCCCGTATTTGTACATCGATATCTTCTCTCCAAAGCAACGCCAAACCGCCTCTGTGCCCCACACAATCCACAACAAAGCAGGAATGAAGCCCCACTTTGCGCATCACTACCTCTACTCTAGAAAAATTTGAGAACGTCTCCATTAAGAAAACAAGGCTCGGCTTCTTCAGGTGAACCAAGTTCACCAGTACTTGAACTGCCGCAGGATTGCCGAGCCCACGACAGTTCCAGCTCAAACAACTCATAATTCTCGGCGGGCCTGGCAACCAGGTCCCGCCGCTTCTCCGTTTTTTGTCTCGGTGATCTCCATGGCACTAATATCTGAACGGAAGGAATCACAGCCTGAACTCCCTGCCTTCCTCTTCTTCAAGAAACCACCAGAATCTTGAGAAATATTGACCACAACATCTTCCCCCGTGCCCCCCGAAAAGCCTTCGCCAACCTCCCCTCCAACACGGTCCCAACTACTGGGACCCCTTCCAGTCAGCGGCCTGCCCTCCCCGTCCACTAACCATCTGCTTCCTCGCCCCCCTCCACTTCTTCTACCACCCGCCCTCATCCAAATACCGTACTGCCTTTGCTACACCTCCTCTCCAGCATCAAATCGTCTAGGACATAACCTCTCCGTGTGGTTCAACAAGCCACAAATGAAGCAAAAATATGGCAATCTCTCATATTTTATGTCTACTGTCACTGATTCAGTCTCACGCTTTAATATCAACCGGCTTCTCAGAGGTTTCTCCACTTCCAGTTTGACTTGGATGCGCATAAATTCCTTCCAACCCCCTGTGAAGTTGTTCGCATCGGCCTGCACAAAATTCCCCATCCTATTCCCGATTAACTGAGCCGTCTTCTCTGTAAAATACCTCATAGGAAGTCTGTAAATCTGAACCCAGAAAACTTCGTGTAACAGGGGAACAATGGTAGGATCTTCATCCTCGCCCAGTCTATGTAGAATCAAGAGACTGTTATCGTACGACCAGGGCCCGTCCGAGATAACCCTTAGAACATCCGATTCATGAAAGAATTGGAATAAAATCCTCCCGTCTCCCACCTCCCGTATGTTGACCCCTCTGCTTGGTCTCCATGCCTCAGCCATAACCTCCTTAAAAACGTTGAATTTTATTGCCTTTTGTGAAAGAATTCGACCAACAATACAGAACCTTGAATTCGCCACTCCAACCTGTAGAACACTGTCATCCACCTCCAACTCGTCTTGATCATCGTCCTCTATGTTCAATCGAGACCACCTTTCCTCTATCTCACTCCCCATGCGACCAGACCTGAGAAGACAACGTAGCAATCGTACGTAGATTATCGGCAAAATGACGAAAGATGAAAACCCTAGAGCCCTAGGGAAGAAGACAACCTCCGTATAATTTTGAAAATAAGGGGAAGGGAGTTAAGAACATGATTGATCATGATTATCCTCCCCCAGTCGAGAGGATCCTATGCTTCCAGCCCGCAAGTTTATTATCAAATTTGGTCAAGATGTGATCAAAGTGTGTTAAGGGTACGATCAGTGTGAATGTTGGCTCCCGAATAATCAGTCAATCCATAAATATCAGTAGAATCGGCCAAAACGACCGATTTTCGTGCTACCAAACAGGCTCAAAATAATGTGCAATCCCCTCAATATACCCACCCCAAGACTTAAATCAAGATCGTCTGGAAATGTGATTCACAAAGAATATGATCAGTACAAAATTAGGACACTCACATAGTCCATATATATACTAAGTATAATTATTTATTGATTATACATATTATTTAAATTTTATATGAATTTGTCGAGCAATTCTTATTAATTGGCCCCAATTTTTTTTTAAATAAGACTTGAATGTCGTTGTTGAATTACGAATTGAAGTACTCTGTATTGTTTTGGGGGGAAATAATTAGGCTAAAGATTGAAAAACTGATGAAGTTTTTAATCATTCATAGGATAACTTTTTCTCATTAATAAGAAACCTCTATTCTTTTATCTTATTCTTGACTATTCTTTATCAATATTCAATAATAGTCTTTTGATCTATGTTATACTAGTATCTAGGGGTGTTCGTCGGTTCGGTTCTGTCGATTTCGGTCGGGTTTTTTTTTCGGTTTTCAAAAGTGAGAACCAGTAACCGAACCGAATGGAATTCGGTCGGCCGGTTTTCATAGTCGGTTTTTTCAGTCGGTTTTCGGTTTACCCTCCTATGCTTGACAAAATACAGAGATGCCTGGCAGAAAGGATTTTTCCCCACCTGATATGCTCATTCAATATACACATGTATACTAACACCAGTAAAATAACAATACTTCAATGTTGATAACTTAAAATACCTGGCACCAAATCATTATAGATTTTAAAAGTTTCAAAAAGCTATACTAATCCCCCAAAACAAATTCTTTAGTAGATTCATGTAGTAATACTACGTTCTGAATGGTCAAAAGGGCTGCATATATTCTTTCATTAAAAAAGAGCAACAACAAGGTTGAAGAATTATGAGAATAAAAAAATGTAAAATTAAATTAATCAGCTATGAAACCAAGTTCTTTGATTTCTTATTGGAATTTTGACGAACACTTGGAGGCAAGAAGGTCAAATACTTTCACTTAACATTCTTGAATGTTTGAAACACATTCAAACATATGGAAAGAGCCGGTCGAAACAGGGAATCACTGAGAACAAAAATATCTTTTCTTGAGTTGTCCATGAATAGCTTGGGCAGTACCGTTTCGTGCTAGGAACAATTGCGCAAAGAACAGCAAGCGAAGAGCAACAAGGGAAGAATAGCTACGGATATTACTTCCTCGGTCCGTCGGTGTATGTAAAACCGACGACCGACGACCGACCCGTTTAAACTTATGTTGGTTTTCATTTCGGTTAAATTTAGTCCGTTCGGTTTCGAGCGTTTCGGGCGGTTTTGGTTTTTAGGTTTTTTTCCCACCCCTACTAGTATCTATATTTCAGAACTTTCAAAGTTTGCTTGGGAAGTTAGATTACACAAAAGTAACAAAAATTTCCTCAGAAGATCTGAGAACTTTCCCAGTTAATTTCTTACTATAACGGACTAATGGAGTATGTAAAATAAATACAAGTAGATGACTTCTTCCAAATATTTGGAGACTATGAGTCTCTATGACCAACACTAAATATACGGAGTATAATATTAAAAGAAAACTAAAAAATCCGCAATTGTAGCCTTGTAGGCTAAGAAGGTTTATGTGCAAAGGGAGGACCACGATCTGTAAACCTATAATTTATATTGTAATAATAATATACTACGTATATTTGTGTATATATATTGATATAAAAGTTGGATGTCATCTACAGGCGGGATCATATGAAACGAGTGTTGAATCTGCCGGAAGGAGAGGCAAGCTTTGGATGTATAACAGAAGCCGCTTCAAATTCTCCTTTGAAATGGCTGCCAAATCAATGACTTCCTGAGAGTTGGTGCATATCCAAAGGTCTCCAGAATTCACTCTTTTCAGACTATCTCGGCAGAAAGGGCATGACTGGGACCGAGCACGCCTACAATACACCCAATCCACCACCATCAATTAGCTGATTTATATTACTGTAAACCAAAGAAAAGTAAAAAAAAAAAATGCACCCCAAGCCAGAGGGCACCTGCCCTTGCCCATCAATTGTTAGTGGATGAGTTCAATTTTGCAAGCTTTGTCCCCACTGTTAGTTTTCCTTATTTGGTTATTCTTAAACTTTTGACCAAAACAGTTCAAATTAAATAAGGTCCACACACACTACTTGATGATATGATAGTCACAACCTTAACACACTATGGAAGATCCAAAGAGAGGTACAGAGGACTTGAGAGGACTAGATGTCTGTAATGGAATTGAAGCTTGGGTTATTTAAGAAAAGAGGGTGGGGAAAACTACCAATCCAAACTCCATAGTGCAAATAAAAATAGCGAGCTAATTGAGCAATAATCTGAAAACAGAAAAACCAATGTGATGTTCAGGAATGAAATAATCAAAGCTGGGAGCCTAGGACTTGGTAGGGAATTCTTCTTTGAAAAAGTCATACAAGGATAGAGAGAATCCAAAATTACTCTGTCAAAAGTATTAGGTGTATGAATGTTATTAATGGATGGAGAACAGTAACTTTAAACCAATAATATTCCAAAATACGTACTCCGTACTACTAGTATTTAATACTCCGTAGTGAAGAAACACTAGAGCGGCACTTCAAGAAAACGAAGGGGGAGTACAAGACAGTTCGGCACTACAATTACTCCGTACAGAATGTATTTTCAGTGGAATTCCAGAAAAAGAAATGTTTATATGAAAATCAATTCAGAGAGAGACACCTGTAAAGAGCTTGGTCTCAAAAGAGTCATCTTATGAGTGCCTTTTGACTTTTAGTGAACACTTGTCAAAAATATCACCCAAAGACCGACCTACCCAAAAGGCAAAAGCACATCCAAACAGGGCCAAGTGAGTTTCAGCCAACAAAATAATGAGTCAATTATTAGCTAGCTAGGCTTGAAAAGAATATGAAAGTGCAGTTTCTAGCCATAAACACCCACCAGCAAAAACCAACCAATAACTCTGCAGTTCGAAGGACAATTTAACGATAATAAATCACCATTAATGCGGGTCTTTGTTAAGATCAGGTAAGGGAATTTAAGTTGTAAGTTATGGCATGAAATAATTATATGGCATAAAACAAAGATCAATAAAATCAATGGAGATATAAAAGCTAGAAAACTCCATGCTTACCAGTTTCTATAGCATTTCATACACAAAGCATGGTTGCATCCGGGCAGCACAACTTTGGGTTCCAACTCCAAACAAATCCCACATTCCTCCTCCCTCTCCACTTCAATTTCTGATAACTTTCCCTTTTTGCCCTCATCCCCTTTTCTGTACTTATTCTCAAATATCTCCCTCTGCTTCCTCTCTTCCACATCAGTGATTCCCCTTTGAAGTTGCAAGAGTGAAGGGAATATCACACCTGTTCAAGATCATCAATATACTCAAATCACAATAAATGAAAAAAATATACTCAGAGTGAATGAGAAATAAATTACAGCCCCCCCCCCCCCCCCCATTTAACACAGAATCATTAGCTTACCATAAAACTCTCTTATGGTAGCTTTTCTTTCATGGACACACATACTTGTCTTACCATTCTCATAAGCCTGCAACAATCAAGGATTAATGAATCATAATTGTCATTTGGTGATTTCAGCTCCAAATTCATAAGCTATTGAATATTACTCTATTAGTTACTACCTTGAATACAAGGATCCTAATCAAACCAAGAGCACCAGCAAGTTTACAATCAGCCCATTGAACAAGAAACATAAACATATGAGCACAGGGACTGTATGAGAGCCTCATTTGAAGGCAAGCACCCCCATATGCTCTTGGGTAATCTGAAGCCCTGTGTGTATCTCAACAAAAACCAGTGTTATTACTCATAAAACGTCAATCCAAAGTAGGACGAAATGCACATATTTTACTATGGAAGTAGGGAAATTCACAGAAATCATATCTGGAAAGAAATTAATCGATCAGTCCACAGTCCACACATGAAATAACGCATAAAAATTTCATCGCGTTTGAAAATTTTAATTCCCTGACCTTCCAGTGAAAACTAACGATACACAGAAAATTTCTAAAACGGTACCAATCAATTCGAATGATTTATAATCAGTAAAATCATTTTCCCTCAAACTAAGCAATTAAATTACAGTGAGCTCAAAAACAGAATCAGAAGAAACGCAAAGGAGAAGAAGATAAGATGCATACAGAGTATTAGCGTGCTGAATATCAGCTTCCAGAGCTTTGAGCGAATCCTTAAAAGACTTCCTCATCACGTTCCATTCACTCAACCAGCCTTCGAACTCACGCTTAAAACTACGCGAAGCTTCTGAAGAAATTAATAATTTAAACCCTACCCCTACCCGAAAAAGGCGATCGTCTTCCCGAAATCCTATACAGCCGGCAGTCGGTGGGTCAAAAAGAGGGGCCTAAGTGTAGGAATTTCATAGAATTGATTTTAATGGTGATTTTTGTGGTTAGAGAGAGAAAATGATCTCTCTCTTTCTGTTGGTAGGCAGGGTGGAGGTGGCCGGGTGGGTGGGTTCAGGCGGCTCTGGCTTGGGCTGCACGCCTCTTCGCCTTTTTGTTGTTATGCTGAGTACTAAGCTTTTCGGTTAGATTCAGGTAGAAGAAGATTGCAGTACCGACGGTTTGTTCTTTTACACTTATACCCCTACTACATTCTTCCACATGTCAATCGGACCATCAAATAAAATCAGAAGCAAATAAATTAGAATAAAGGAAAATGCTTAGTGTACATTAGTTGTACACAAAACCCCTTAGTTGCCTGTGTACACAGGCAATTCATTAAAACTGAGGCAGAAGTTGATGCCAAATTGCCTGTGTACACAGACAATGTACACATTTTGTGTACATCTTGTGTACACCAAGAATGGTCCTGAATAAATAGACCATACAATATCAGGTCACATAATAAGATCGCACAATTTCGATTCTTGTACAAACTTTGCAATTCGTTAGTACATATACAATAATAAAGTATTTAATACGGAATAGTTTTTAAAGTACGTCATTTGTGATGGTACCATCGACTCGGACCATGATCCAATTACGTAATTCAGTCTATAAACGGGATCATTCTTTAACGGGATTAGCCTAATTAGCAGGATTAGTCCATAAACGGGATCAATGCTTAATGGAATTAGCCTAATTAACAGGATTAGCCCATGAACGGGATCAAGCCCTAAACGGGATTACGATAATTAGTCATTGGGCCTAATTAGGAATCAAGCATGTGATAAGAACCCACAATCAGGTCGGGCTGCACAGCAGACCTCGAGCCTGAGCGGAGTTCTAGTGAGGCTAAGATATTCCTAGGGTTTCGGTGGCAGGCTAATGATGATGATGATAAAAGCAAAAAACAGAAATGTTAGTTCGGTTGAAAACCCAAAAACGGGCAATCTAAGCAAAAAGGACTTACAAAAACGAGTGAGTTTGGAAAGGATGAAAAAACAAAAAGAGATGTTAGGATGAAAACCTGAAAAGGCTCATAGCAAAATGAGAGATATGAGATATGTATATTTGTTTTTTGCAGGACATCATTTATTCTCTTGAATAAAAAAAGAAGAAGAGAGGAAAAGAGATAAGAATAGAAGGCCATAAAACCCAAGAAAATGTTATTCTTTGAGCTAAAAACTCAATGTAAAACTCATGTGTTATTCTTGGTGATCTTTTGCTCTTTCTTGTTGACTATTGAACTATTGAGAACTTGGAAAGCTTGTGAATATTTGGCTTTACTCAAGGACGAGTAAAGAAACTAAGTGTGAGGGAGTTTGATGGTGTGAATTTCCTATTATGTATGTTTGTATTTTTACCTAGTTTTATTAGTTCTAGTTGTGGAAATTACACACTTTTGGTGTAATACTTTAGTTTGTGAAATTATTTGTAATTTATTTAGATTAGGATTATTCTGAGTTTAGAACAGGTCAAAATTATTCCAAGAATCAAAGGATGGATCCTAAAGACCAAAGAATGTGCAAAAGGGAGAAGATCAAATGAAGATTTTGAAATTTGTTCAGTACTCGGTCGAGTATTGCCAATACTCGGTCGAGTATTGACCGGATACGTTGGTCAAAATAAAATTTGGGAGCAAAAGAACGTGGTTGAATATTTGATGAAGATCATGTCTCATACTCGATCCAGTATTGGCAATACTCGGTCGAGTATGCCTATTTTTCACAATTTCCTGGAAACTACCTCTAGTACATACTCGGTCGAGTATCTCATATACTGGATCGAGTACAGCACCCTGCCACCTCCATTTTGCTATAAATACACCCCCTTTTTATCACATTAAAATGATCAATTCTCATATACTTCTAAGCTTAGTTTAGACAAGTATTTCCTTTATATTTTCTAGTATGTTTAGTCTCCAAATGAGGAGCTAAACTCTTCCATCTTGGTTTTTCTACTTTAGAGCTTAATAAATTGTAAGTTGTGAGTTATTTTCTTTAATCTTCTTCCTTGAATATTAATTTTTCCCTTAATACTATCTCTATATTAATCTTGGGGAGTGTTGCTAAGATGACAATTATTTAACATCTCAACATTAGTTAAAGTAGCATTTATTTTCTTCCTCTATATTAATGTTGGGGAGTGTTGCTAAGATGACAATTAGTTAACATCTTGACATTAGTTATAGTAGGATTTATCTTCTTTAATATTCTTCCTTAAATATTAATTAATTTATATTCATATTTGATATTAATATTCTGAGCATTACTTAAAGGATCAACTAGTTTTGTTTCATATATTAATTATTACTAGAATCGATCGACGTATACGCTTGTTAATCGTTCGATCTTTTCACAGTAGTAAACTTGGATTATTAATGCATGCGTCTCATGGTTAATAATCTAAGGGGAATTAATTATATTGATTAAACCAGTAAACCGCTTGTGTTGATGTTATCAATCTCAATCGTTTTCATCTTAAGTTTATTGCTACTATCAGGTTAATATACGGCGCGTGCTCTATATTAACTCGGTAGTAAGTTTTATTAATGAACGTGTCTCGTTATTAATAATTACCCTCGATGAACTGGATATACTCCTCGATAGAGTGTTCGAGAGGAAGATAGTTAATGATATAACCGAGATCAACAAACATTTCATTAAGTGGGTAAAATCAAAACCAAGTCCTCATCTCTATCAATTAAACTCATATATGTCGTTCATCTTAGTGTCAATTAAATCAAATCAACCTTAAATCCCCCCCCCCCACGTTACAAGTCCACACACGTTACATATCGGCCACACTGGTACACGCCACTGAATCAACCGCTCCTTTGACGGCAAGCAATCCGTACAAACCTGCCAGAAAAAAGTTTTCAATTTGGGTGGTAAGTTTAGTCTCCAAACTCGAGTCCAATCCGGCCTATCCTCCACGTATGGCACAAGCTTCCTATAACAACTCCGGACTGAATACTTACCATTTTTCTCAGCCGCCCAAATCAATTCAACCCTCTCTCGAAGACCCTTCAAAGGTATGGCCGAAATAGCATCGTAGTCTTCCTGCAGAAAAATATCATGTAAGATATCCCAATCCCAGTCGTTTCCATTCTCATTTATTAATGAGCCCACCTTTATATCTTCCAGCTCACTAATAACACCATTCGCCGCTCGCCCTCCATTATTAATAGGTATCCATTTATCCTTCCAAACCCGAATATTGGAACCGTCCCCTATCCGATATATCAGCCCCTCCCGGACCGTAGGCATGGCCGCAATTATACTCCTCCAAATAAGAGAGGGATTACTCCCTACCCCCGCATCCAGAATGTTACCCTTGGGGGAGTATCGAGCACGAAGAACTCTACTAACAAGTGACCCCGGCTGTTTAAAGAGGCGTCACACCTGCTTTCCCAACATAGCAATATTAAAATCCCGCAGTTTATGAAAGCCCATCCCCCCAGCGCTCTTCGGAGCACACAAGTCGGTCCACCTCCGCCATCTAATTCCTTTTCCTTTAAAAGCATGACCCCGCCACGAGAAACCATTCATGGCCCGCTCCACCTCCTCACAAAGTTCATTAGGCAATAGAAATACATTCATTGCGTATTGCGGCATTGCCTGAATGACTGTTTTGAGGAGAACTTCCCTTCCTGCTCTGGATAAGAATATGTTATTCCACCCTTGAATTCTCTTAAGGACCTTTTCTTTTATATAACCAAAAATCTCCTTTTTATTTCGGCCCACCATAGATGGCAATCCAAGATACTTGCCACCTCCTCTATCCTCTTGTACCCCCAAGAGACCACTCAAGTAATCCATGTCATCCCATGCAACATTCAAACTGAATCTGACACTGAACTTATCATAATTAACAACCTGGCCTGATACCCTAAAATAGTTTGCAAGCATCTCTTTAACAAACATATAGTCAACCTCATTTGCCCTGAAAAAAAGAAAACTATCATCTGCAAAAAGTAAATGAGTTAGTGCCGGCGCACCCCGAGCTATACGTACCCCCTGTAACTGCCGGTCAGCTTCCCCCCTGCGAATGAGAGAGCTCAACCCTTCGGCAACCAAAATAAACAAATAGGGGGACAGAGGATCCCCCTGTCTAATTCCCCGTGAAGGAATAATAGGGCCCACAACTTCATCAGTTACATGTATGTTATACCGAACCGTACCAACACACTGCATTATCAGGTTGACCCATCTCACATTAAAACCCAACCGAAGCAAAATAGTCTCCAGGAACATCCACTCTACTCTGTCATATGCTTTGCTCATATCAAGCTTCAGCGCAACATAACCATCCCTGCCCTGTGTTTTCGGGACAAGGACAATAGTGGTATCATTACAACCCTCCGGTAACTGACCCGACCAAAAGACACTAAAACAAAACTCCGCTACCGCCGGCCCCACCACATCCCAGAAAGATTGGAAAAAACCTGGATTTAAACCATCCGGCCCTGGAGCTTTATCAGGATGCATACTAAAAGCAGCATTCTTAACCTCTTCCGCTATCAACTCCTTTATCAACATATAATTCTGCTCATCTGAGATAATACCTCTAAATCCCCCCATCTCTTTTACAGGAACCACCTCGCCATGTGTAAATATAGTCTCAAAATAATCAATCACCAGCTCCCGCAAGGCCCTCTGCTCCGACATCCACTCGCCCGAGGGTGACCGAAGGCCCTTCATCAAGTTCCTCCTCCTGTGTTGCTTAACGGAATTGTGAAAAAAATTAGTATTAATATCCCCCTGTTGAAACCAAAATTCCTTAGCCCTCTGTCTCCAAAAATCATTCTGCTTCTCTAGCAACATTAAGTAATGCTCCTTTGTTTTTTTTAAATTAGCCAGACTACCCACATCTGACCTGCCACGCAACTCCGCCGTCTTCCTTTTGCAGCCCTCAATACGTCTCTGAAAGCCCCGGTGTAAACTTCTACCGCATTTGTCTAGCTCTTCTCCATAAAAGCGGAGTCTATCATGCAGCGGCTGCACCTCGCAGCACCCCCAGGCCCTCTCGACAATACTTCGACAATCTTTCTCCCTTAGCCATAAATTTTCAAATTTGAAACTCCTCCTCCTTCGGTTCACATCTCGTTTAGAGAATTTCACAAAAAGTGGCAAGTGGTCACTGTTACTACTTACCACC